CACCATCAGTGACTCGTTGTACTGAGCGTTATAAATGGGACAAAGGTAGATGCTCAGGTCCATGTACCGAGTGCCACAGGTCACTGATATGTCGGTGTTTGCTGGAAGAGATTAAAAGGAACAATGTAAATCAAAGCAGTGAGAGGTTTGAAAAGAAAGGTTTTGAACACATCAGAGAGAGATAAAAATACCTGGAGCTCTGTAAGTGTTGGTAGCGATACATTTTTCCAGAAACGTTTGAGCATGAGCTTGCAGAATTAAATCAAACAGGCACTCAAGGATGATGAGCCCAATTTGTTTCAGTGTAGACCTGTGAAAAGACAGCACATCATGGGAACCAAAGAACTCACTGGTTTTTCCTCACAGAAAAGCACAAAAGCCTTTTTTCAAATCCAGACATTCTTTGTTTCCAGGCCCAATATTCAATCTTACATATTCAATACAAGTTCAATGCTGACCAGTCCAATCACACGTGTACGAAAAAGAAAAGAACCCATGAATAAGAAAACATTCATACACACTACAAACTGATCTCTGACAGGATTATTTTCATGGTTTTAGTTCTCAAAACGTCTCTACATAAAACAATCCATACAAATCCAGCTGCAGCTTTGGGCTTAAATGTACTTAAAAAACATTATTCTTGTAATAAACGAAATACCTAAAGATTTTAAGGTAACAAAGCAAACGTAGAAACATACTCAAGCAGGATACTAGAAATAATAATTTTGGTACTTACCTGTGTGTCTTCATTTTATGTTATACTCTTGTTAGTCAGAGGTCTCCATTTATACCATCGTTCTCACATGGGCGTGAGCGACAACACAATGGAGGTGACCTGAACTGGGCCTTGACGTTCCGTTCTTTTTGTACTGAACACATTCAAATGTCACCTGGTTGCTTCTCTCCGGAGGTTTTCCAGGCACATCCTTCTCAGAGAAGATCTTGGAGCAAATCCAGAACTCGCTGGAGGGACCCGGTATACCATCAGGCCGTGGGAACGCCTCAAGGTCTCCCAGGAGGAGCTGGAGAGTGCATTTGGGTAGAGGGATGTCCTGGTCCTCCTCCTGGACCTGATGCCCTTGATGGTTTATCCACAAATAGGCAGAAGAATTGTATGGCTGCTCAGCATGGCCACTGAGAGTTAGAAGAGCTCTTGGGATTTTTTTGTGAACATTTGTTTGTGTATTGAGTAATAGCTTGTCTAATGGAGCGTCCAAGAGCACGTGGCTTTAGTGAAATAGGATCAAATTATTTTTGGTAGAACGATGGCCCTGTGGTTAGCACTGCTGCCTCAAATCAAGGTTCAACCCCAGCTTGGACCAGGGTTTTTCTTTCTTGTGGAGTTTGCATCTTCTCCGCCTGTTTGCATGGGTTTTCTCCAGGTACTCCAATTTCTTCCCACAGTCCAAAAACATGCATGTTAGGTTCAGATTTCCTTTGCAAAAGAGATCTGTGATCTCATTGGGATTTACCTGGTTTAATAAAGATCAATAAATTGTAGTTGTAAAATGACCTTAAAGTTGACTAACAGGTCTAGGGTTAATGATTTTAAGATAAGGTTACAGAATCGCTTAACGAACCAATTGATTTCATCATCACAAAACAAGCAACACAAATAACCAAAAGCGTTGGAGCCAAAGTTGTAGCCTTTCATATTTATTCTATTGTTCAGCATAAAGACAGTGTAGTTCATTCAAAGTGACAAAAGAATACAGCAGGAACATTTCTTCCACATGCATATTTTCTACATACATATTAGCTATATACATATTCAGTGGGCAAATTGACATTTTACACCAACATGTGATATCTAAACCAGTCTGTTCAGACGCTGTCAGCCATTAAAAAAGAATAAAACTCCTTTTTTAAACTTGTTCTCATCCAAACCAATTCAGAAGAACCACATTTGTGATCACAAAAGATGCCACCTCCTATTATATACTTCAATGTAAGCTGAATAAAACGACTGCAACTTAAAAGTGATTTCAATGAACAGTTAAATATACATTTACTGAGCCTTTATTAATCCACTATGTGATTTATATAAATATATACGTGCATGCCAAATTTGATGACTAAGTGAGTTGCTCATGCTTTGGAGATGATGAAGAGTTAGAGATGAGAAAGGAGCTCCAGTTTGATCAAGCGACTTTATCCCATGAGTTGTTTTCTTCGCCTTGTGTGGAAAACAAAGTAAACAGCCAGGGCAGCGACCGAGACGGCGAGGATGCAGATGCAGACGATGATGGCGAGTATCGGACGGCTGTAGATGATCTCAGTTGATGCTGTTGGTGGAGCAGAAACGGCGAGAAACGTTAAGAGGTCAAACGGTGCAACGGCACGTGAATTTCTGTTGATGATCGAAAGCTGAGCAAATACCAAGAAAGCAGTCCATTTAGGATGATCCCCCAGACCAGCGTCAGATATAGATGATCATTACCTTGAGAAGCGGAGGAGCTTTTAGCAGCTTCTAGAAGACAACAAAATACAAAAACAAAGAATATTCAGAATTGAATAATTTGACTAATATGAAAAAAAAAGTTCATTAAGAGGTAAAAACTTAAATCTGAGCCAAAATCTCTGTCAAATTCAGAACCAAATGGTAAATATAGTTATTTTAGTTTGGACACAAACCACAATAAAGAATGTAGATTGCCTTTTTTTTAACAGATTTTAGAGATCAATAAGGGGAATTAGACGATGCATTCTAACATTTATGCGAAATGACCAAAATATTTGCATCTTTTCATCAGTTTTGTTAATGTTTATGTCACCATTTGAGTCTTTTTTGATCATTATCATTGGATAAACTAATGTGGTTTTGTTTAATTTCTTGGATAATGACGCACCGGAGTTTTCACTGACAGGTATAGCAACAGAAGTGACAGTAGCTGAGGGGGTATCGCTCGGGACGTCCCTCTTTCTTCTTGAAGTACAGACCTATGGACAAAAAAAAAAAAAAAAAAACAGGCCTCAGTTAAATCAACTAAAAATGTTAGCAGAAACTTGAGCAAGACATAAGTCATATGTACTCACAGGCTTTAGGGAGGCACATGCGCTTGTCTCACAGAGTCTGGTGAGGCAGTGCAGGTAGAAAGTGGAAATTGTCAGATTTTTGTGTTCCACAAATCTGAAGGCCTCGAAGTTGAATCGTGCCGACTGTGAATCGCCGTTTAAATCAATGACTGTCTGTGGGTCACGGGTACACCTTGGGTACAACAAGAGATGGGTGGACATTTTTAACTAAAAGGAGTACAAAGAGCTCCTGTCCAGGAATAAAAGGTGTTAAAAAGTGTTTAGTTGTGGTTTCTTGTCTGTAACTCACCCAACAAAGAGGTCATAGGAAGTGCTTAGAGCAGGTAATGGACTTGTTGTGGCGTAACATCTGTCCAGTAAAACTTGGAACCTTTTAGGAACAGAGAACCAGGATTTTACTAATCTTGTTCATGTTTTGTGCTCATATGACCAGTCTTCAGTAAATTATTTAAAGTGTAATTACTTCTGTGTTAGATTAGTAGCTTTAACTTCCACATAAATCTTGGTCTTAAGGTTGAGTCCTGTTGCTGGGATCTGTAGCACCTGTTGATACTTGTTATCCTGTTTTGTGGAAAAGAAAATACTAAATCAAATGGATGAAATACAATACATTCATATGGCGATGTACAAAAATAGAGTAAAAGTATGTCGTACGCTGTACAGCTGCATACTCAGAGTACTGATGAAGCTACCATTGTTGTCTCTTATGGCAACGTTCACCCCTGCCCTGCAATTAAAAATAATCACAGTTCATCAGATTTACAAGTACTTTACTATAAAATTGTCAAGTTATAATTGTGCCAGGCATATAGTACTCACACGCTGAGCTGAGTGTTGTTGAGCACATAGTGCAGAGGGTAGTAGCAGGAGAAGTAGTACAGGATCTGCGAACGATATGTGATCGTACCTGCAGAGGGGTCGATGGCCGTAACGGCGCCGGAAATGTTGACGAACTGAACATTTGAGAAATCTGAAAACTGTCCTGTTCCTTTGTCAGTGATTATCTACATAAAAATAAATAAAATGGCACGTAAGTAAAACTCAAACATTTTAGTGTTTGAGCGCTGAATAAATCTGTTGAATTAACGTAAATACCACATATTTGTTGGCGCAGCTTGAGGAGGAGGTGTCGTTAATAGGGAATCTGAATCTTAAAAGTGGAGGGGTGGAAGTGAAGTCAGCAACCCCGTAACAGTCAGGGTTTCTGATCTGGTTATTCAGCACCATCAGTGACTCGTTGTACTGAGCGTTATAAATGGGACAAAGGT